ATCATTTCATTCAACACTGTTTCGTCACAGCATCAGTGAGAAAAGAAATCGATATCCCGCGAGGGCCACGGTCTGTGTGGAGCAGCACGTTCTGCATGGGTTTTCTCCCGTCCCCCAGTTTCCTCCCACATCCCAGAGCTGTTCACATTAGGTGAACTGGCGTATCTCCATGGTCCCAGAGTGATCGTGGGTGTGTGACTGGCCCTGCGACGGAACAGCGTCCTGTCCAGGGTGGGTCCTGCCTTGTACCCAGAGCTGCCGGGAAAGGCTCCAGCCACCCACAACTCTGAACTGGAATAAGCAGGTTGGAAAATGAATGAATGAATGAATGAATACAAATTATAAGACCTTGTAAAGTCTACCAACATCATACAAGTGCTCGACAGTGCGTGCCACGTACAAAATTGCTCAGTGACCCACACGTTTGTTCCTGTTGGGGCTGGAGCTGTGGGTGGGGGGAAGGGGGTAGGCCTGGGGAGGTCTCGCTCTGCAAACATTTATTGCCTCACTTAACCACCACTGGACTGCCGGACTGCCGTCACTCTGCCTCGCCAAACACTGAGTAGTTCTCACTTGTTTTTATTCATCTTTCTTAAATGTCCATAGAGCTCATATGTACCTCAATGTTTAGCATTGTAAGTGTTTTGGGTCTTTCTTTAGAAGTTTGGTAATATTTTTATGACCAGAAACACGCTGTGGGAACTTAACTTTTGTTTCCATCGTGCAAGAAAAATAAATCTCAGGACCCCAAACTCACTAAGCTAAAGGGAAAAGTCAAGCTGGGAACTGCCTCAGGCAAACCTGCCTCCCATTTTATTCCTAAATAAGGTGGCTACAAAGAGAAAAAAGCTACATACAGACCTCCCTCACAGTTTGTCCACAAGGAAATTCCTCGTGGGCCTCAAGATCTCTACCCGGAAAGACTTCTGCTCAATTTCACCCTGGCAATGCAGTTGCCAGCTGATCTTCCCAGGGGTGGGACAGGGCGTCATCCCTCAGCTCACCTGAGACAAATACCTATGTGATTGCTTCCTCTGCCCTGTGTAAAATGCAGCTTCACTGAGCCACACTAAGGTGTAAATGACTATTCCTCTACCCCCAACTCACAAGTCAATTGTGTATTCACTGAAAGGCTCATCAAAGACTCAAAACAATGCAATCCTTTGTCTCTTGTCCACCTAGAACCTGGAAGGCCCCCACCTTTGTGTTTTCCCACCTTTCCAGATGGAACCAATGTACACCTTACACCTACTGACTGATGTCTTATGTCTCCTTAAAATGTATAAAAGCAAGCTGCGCCCCAAGTACCTGGGGCAGATGCCGTCAGGACCTCCTGAGGCTGTCACAGCACGTCCTTAACCCTGGGAAAGTAAACTTTCTAAATGGATTGAGACCTGTCTCAGGTACTTTGGGTTCACACTATCAATTGTGAACTCCAAGTGTATCAACACCTGTCGATGGGGTTCAGTGAGGGGCCTACTGTGTGTGTCTGAAAGTGGGGACTAGAACTGCATCTGTGACAACTTCCTGCCCCACAGTGCCCCTCCAAAACCACAAACAGGAAAGTAGAATCACGCATTCCTACTCCACATACGCAGGTAGTCTGCGCATGCGAGACCGCAGCGTCCTCTCCACCCACTGCCCTGTGTCTCAGTTCCGACTCAGACGCGGTGACCTGGCAGACACGAATTGGTCACTGCTTTGCCGAGTGCTTCAGCAGCACAACCAGCAGCTTCCAGTCACAATACCTGGGGCAGAACAAGACGGTAGGAACAGGTGTGCTGCAGAGCTAACGACGGGAGCAGCTGGGGCCACCCACATAACAGAGCCCAGACTTGGAGCAGGCACCATGATCCTCATCTAGTACCTCACTCTCACTTTCGCTGCACCTGCAAGACTGCGGCTTCTGGGATCACGGGCTAGCTGCGTACATCAACTGAGGTGGTCTGCTAGGGACAACCGTGACATAGCGGCAAGTGTGTAACTATGCCCATACACTGAAATGTGAGCAAACAGGAAGGTGAACAATTCACAGCCTCGTCAGATTTGCACAAGTCTTGCACAGAGAGATTGTCAAAACTGATCTCAATAATTCCTCTTGAGCAGTAATCAGTGGGATTCATAAGATACTGTATAAAATCTAAACAATAAGAAATGTCTAAGTATGCTATTGTTCTACATCGTGCAGAAATCAATGTTTCTACAATTGTCATGGATGTCCTGGAAAATCTTACAGTCTCATTGTAGGCAAGACTGATCCATAGTCTTCTAAAACCACAATGATCTCAGGCATATATGGTGATCAGGATCGATTCAGTCATTTTGTGATAATTAAAAGAGTTGGCAGGGCTATTGTTCGGTGAATTATCATTCTAATCTGTGGAAAAAATGAAAAATATTAAAATATCGTGATACCATGTAAAATTCCCCACATTAGTGCCATGCACAATAATGTTGTTATATTGGGTTTCACTGAGTCAGTCATATACCTGATCTAGTGAATTCATTAGTTTTCCCCCAATATGTATAAAATGTAAAAGTCCACCATGTTGTCGACTAGAGACAGTGGAAGATATATGTAAACTGTATGCTCCGATATTATGCCAAAAGCAAAGAATCCTATGAATGAACGAAGGACGATGAACCACCTAGCTGTATTCCATCTTCTGAACAAGTATGTCTGCTGTTGTTCTATGATTCCAGAACGAAAAAATATTGCCTCATATCCCCTTCCTTCGCTAACTACAAGACCCATCTATTCTTTCCTATCTACTCAGTATGTTCTCCATAATGAGACGCACATATAGATCTACCCCAACAAAACCTGCCTCTCTGTTCCAAAGTACGTCTATCCAACAGAGAGACCGTCAGCAGAAATGCTGTGAAGACGCATTCAAAAGCATATCACTGCAGGTCATCACAACCACACAAAGGCCAAGAAATTCCTTCG